AGTAGATATGAAATTCCGTATATGTAAAGTCCTTCTGTCTTTAGTGAATAAGTATAAATTTATCTAGTTGATAACTCAGAGATGAAAGAAAATAACATTACAGACTTCTACTATCGTACGGGTTCTTTTTGCCAACAGGCAAACGACGAACGGTTAGAAGCGGTCGCAGTTTGCTTGTTCTTGTCAACGATGGCGTTTAAGTACTACATCATATTTTTATTATAAACAAAAGGTTTTTGTCTTAAAAGGGTAATGAAAGCAAAGGACGAAAGGGACTAGCTACAATGTCCGTTAGCAAACAAAATTTTTTGGGACACAATTTTGCTAATAGTACAGCTTAACCAAAATTATGACTTAGAATTAAATAAGTATACGCGACGTAATGAGGTCTAACGAATAAGTGTGTGAATCCACGAAATGATGGTCAAAATTGATTTATATTTATTACATACTGTAATTAATGTATTCAACGTTTTGGACCTCTTGTATGTAGTGTTGTAATTATTAGTGTTAGTGTTATACTTGTATTAAGTGTTATACTTAGTACATGTAGATAATTTATCTGAAATTGTAAAAATCAAGGCCTCGAACATAACAAAAACACTGAACAATGCATATAACGACTAACAAGGACAAATTCAAGCCAACTAAAGTAACCTTAAACTATAATATAGTTGCCAAAAAATTTGAACTTGACCCAAGATCCAAAGAGATAAAATGCGGCTAAAGGTTGGACGCCACTTATCAGCACATTTCAGCTCTGCATCCATACTAAACTACTATTTTGTTATAAATGACGTGACCATACGTTCCGTTTTGAGTTGGACAGTCCCGCTTTAAGCCTTCGTGTCCCGCTGTCCCCAAAATACATAAAAGTGTCCCGCTTTCACAAAAACAGAACACAAATGTAACAATAAATTTAATAAAATGGCGCGAAAGTGAAAACTTATAAAGCCAGTCAACCAGACATCGAGCACCAGACTACACAAGAGAAGTTATTTTTTAAAATATTGATTCATTAAACAATTTTAATTCTTTTTATTTTTTTATCATTAAACATTTCGTTACTATCATAAACATGTTTTTTTTAAAAAAACAATAATAAATTTACAGGCGTCCCGCTCTGAGGAAAAAAGTAATGGTCAAGTTAGTTATAAAGTATCATCTGCGTGCTTCAGCATCAAGCTTGCTAACAAAATCCTTAGAACACGCATTTGACATGAACGCGGTGCTGTACGTATAAATGGGGTCTTAACCTAATGTACCAAAACATGTAGCAAGTGACATTTGTAGGATAATAAAGTGTAAAAGATTTAGTTCGCATAATAGAGATAACACCAATGTAAAACGCGCTTTACATTTCGTGAATTGTCGACAACCACGTTAGTCAAGGTGAGTTAGTGCGATCGGTGATGCGACACTGTGCGTTACATTTATTAGTGTCAGCAAAGCACTGAGTTCATCCATATTGCAAGCATTAATAAAAGTAAAATATATGTATAGTCTATGACAACTCTTGCTAAGAGTGTCTAATCAACTTGTTACCACAATTTATGTGTCCGTGACAATTGTGTGATATAATCTAATATCTAATAAACCGTGAACGTGAATATAACCGGTTTGGTGTTGCCCATATTGTATACAAGTTTGTGTAAATTACATAATATTATCACAAATGTCATTTGACAAGCTGTTTGTAATAATATTATATATTACTTAGCCCTCTATGTCTTCTGTTTTGTGTATTTATGCTCCTCTATTTATTATTTTTACCTGTGTGCACAGTGTCACAAATCAAATTGCTAACGATTAGCAAGACCAAAAGATGTTATCGTATATATTGGTGTAACAAGAGCACATCTGCAAAGTCGTGAGAATTATATTAACGAATATAGTAGATAACTTTTATTCGGCTTTATTATTTTAACAGTACAATATGTGAAATCACCCAAAAACTTCCATTGTATATGTAATATACTATATCGGTATATTAGATACTATCACCGAATTCATTCAAAATTTACATAAAAATCACTTTACTCTATGTAATCTTTACTAGTATTATCTATTATGTATAGTATAGATACTTGTAGATACCTCTAGTTACACCCGAAATCTTTAAAATAACTCAATTTGCACAGCGTTATTTGAGAAGGCCTTAAATTGGTTGTTGCCGTTGGCACAGTAAACCAACTAACGTCATAGTTAAATTTATGGTTTTTGCTCCAGTGATATCACCGTATCTGGCAATTTTAATGTATCTATACGAGTATTTGTTGATGGCATGTGGGTAAACATTACTAGGAACTGTAAAATTATGTTTAAAAAAAATTATTTACATGTATAGTTTAAGGCAAGAAGTTACTTGTGATGTTTAAAGTAATTACGGTCTGGTTTTTCTACGCCGAAGTTTTTGCATGAATTTGTCCATTATCCTAAGTAATGACGCATCATCAATTTTATTTGCATTAAGTAAAAAAATTGGAAAAAATCTTAGTTTAAAAAAAAATTGTGAGCTTACACCTTATCTTAATATTTTTGTAAAAGATTTTACCAAGGTTATTTACAATAGTTATTTTCTATTTACAATAGTAATAGGAGAAAAAATAGTTTTCTAATAACTCATAACGAAACCAGTTTAACGATGCAATTAGACTCTTAAAATTTCCACGCTATCGCACTCGCCCTGATTACTTACCTACAATTCTGCATCTGTAACGACCTATTCAATAACCTATTCAATAATAAGTACATTAGTTCACCTACATTTTCCTGCTTCATCTTATCTATGATTGTTACTAGTGCTGTTGTTATCAAGATCTCGTAGGCTATGATTTTCGCTTTTTACTTATGTTTATTTTGGTTCCTCCTCTATATCCCTTATTAAAGTACTAATAAATTTACTAATAAATTTTCGGTCAGATAAACGATGCCTTATCACAAACTATGATAACAAATCTTAGTATCGGATAGTGCTTGACCACGTATGGCTGTAAGACTTTACGAAATATAATCGTGTGCAATATAAACTGAAAATAATGAAGAAAACGAAATTCTACGATTTGAACTATAGTGGCTACCTATAGAAATGGGTTGTTGCGACAATTGCTGCGTTCCTTATGAAGAGTCCAGTAAGTAACTAAAATTATTAGAATGAACAATATTTACATCAGTGTACCTACTTGAAAACAAAACCGACTCATATGACCAAATTATCACACAGGAAATAATTCACACGGAAAGAAGTATAATCGACGTTAATTTCAATTTTAGAAATGTTAAGTGCTTATACCAAATAGGGTTATTTAATCTATATAAAACGTCACAACAACGCTAACCCATGTATGTATAATTGATACGTACATTATCTTGTCAATAGTATAGACACGTTTGTTTGACACTGTTTGACATCTGAAAGAAGTACATTTATTTTTGATTGCTGTAATTTGAACTCAGAGATCGTTTCCAAAGTTTTAAGTAATTTTAATATTTATAATTCGTTTATAATGTATATGCTACTTATGAAGAATGTATTTTTTCTACGCCTGATTTCATTGTTTCAATTGTTCATAATGTCTCCAAATAGAATTGATATGGAAATTATAGAGTCACCATGCATTATTTAAGAGTCAATCCTCAAATGACTTTGGTTGGTTCCGCATAACAGTGAAAGTGTTGAATCAATCGCTTTGAAAAAATATATAGTAAAATTGAGGATATACACTGATTACTATACCGAGTGAAAACACAATTCCTAAAAATTTTCACGATACGAAAGAACACAAACTTACCTCGAAATTGTACAAGAAAACCGCTGTATTCAATAGGCACTTAACATATATATATACACCAATGATTTTTTTAATCAACTGAATTAAATGGAACACGTATATTATACGATATACCTACATTTTTCAAACAGCATTAATGTCTAGGAAATGAAACTATTTTTCCGGATTTAAATGGCGTATATTTGTTTTTTCAAACAAACCGACGTTTCGGGTCCATTACAGGTCACATGGTCACGGTCACTGTAAAGGGCCCGAAAAAACAAATATACGCGATTTAAATCCGGAAAAATAGTTTCATTTCCTATGTGTAACAATCGCGAAAACCTAAGAACTCGATAAGCGTTCGATCCAAGCAAAATGAACCGTATTAGTACGGGAAACATCGGAATTCGAGCTGAGGTGGTATCCACTCTTAACACATTCACCTTGAGCCGGTCAGAAAAAGGTTTTGTCCATGCAACAAGACCGAAAAAGTGGTTGCGGGTTTCGCTACAGTTTTGACCGCCAATGAACTTGAAGCTTTTTTAGCCCGTTTAATGCGATTCTGCATCCATGAGTGTAATCACTCCCTTAAGTACCTATTACAAAATATTCTGAAATAAAAGTAAAATTTCAAGGTACGAAATTGCCCTCGACACAACGTGATCTTGTTTCTTTGTTTATAATGTACGAATCATTTGAATGAATGAATGAATAAAATATTCTTTATTGCACATAGAAGTGTAGTTAAAGAACAATATATTTGCTTGAGTATATAGTAATAGTAAGTTAATGTGCAACAGGCGACCTTATTGCTATGTATCAGCAGTAGAGCTCCTTGTCAAAGAGTTCGTCCAGGAAAAACCGTAATATCAGCATTAATGTGTTCCGATTTTGAAGGGTAAGGAAGCTAGTGAAATTATAGGCACATGGGACTTGTCAACTTAAGACTCAGGTTGATGGGCGCAGCATTGTATCTTTGCGATTTAAAGAGCTGTATCATCAGGCGCATGACTTGTTCATCCCGTCACTTGATGTTAAAAAAAATAGAAAAAAAAACAGCTTAAGTTAATAGTAGTAGTAAGTTAATGTGCAACAGGCGGCCTTATCGCTATGTAGCAATTTTTCCCAGGCAAATTTAGGATAGACATTTGAATAAGAATATCATCTGATTCTGATTGATTCCTTTGACACCAGACTGTTTAAATAAATTTTATTTGTTGGTTGTAGGGGAGCCGTTAAAATACGACCCGCACTTCAACGGGCCCATCCACAATCGTTCCTGCACGGACATAATATGGCTAATAGTGTTCATTCTCTTCCTTGGAGCTTGGGGATACGTGGGATATGTGGGTAAGTTCGAAAATCGAATTTTTTCACGTGCAATACTGAAACATGAAGAACGTGGTAATCTAATAGGTACGAGAACAGTTGTTTTGGGTTAATACTATCATAGAGTTCGTTAAACACTGAGCATGTTTAGTTTTAATAAGAAAAAGACTAATAAGACGCTAGTACTCACGTAAGGTTCATTATTCAATGTGAGGTAGATGAAATGGTAGAAAAATTCAATAAAATAATTAAATAATTAGTGTGATAACTGTAACTACGAATAAAGAACTTTTTTATTTATTAAGATGGTTTACATTGGACTGGACTTTATTTCAGACAGTGTGCGTTTTTTCAGTGTATTTTTCACAAATAATTTAAAGTTTTCCAAATTTTAGAAAATTATTTTTCCTAAAATTCTCTTGAAGTGTCTTTCATTATTTTTCCCCTGAAGTCTTTAATTGAGTAGTCGAAGGTTCAAATCCCTGTTAACTAGCTAACTAGTGGAGTAATTTCACAAAAAACAATTGAATATCAGTTCAATAAAAATTTAAAATACTTTGAATAGCGACATCTCTCGCCAGGGCCGGTAGCTTTAAAGGTATCTAACTGGGTGATAAAACTTTCATAGATTTCTCATCGATGGCGCTACGACTAAAAAGTCGTTGAAAAACCCAAATACAAAGACACGACAACAAGCACTTAGCAAAATTCGTGAGGTCCGCTGGTTCGTTCCGTGGGTTAGTTGGTATAGCGTCTGGCACGGTATGCTAGAAGACGTCGGTTCGAATCCAGCCGGATCGAAAGAATTTTTTCTGAGTGTTCGATCTTTGTATTAATAATTACATACACATATGTTCGCCAATCGTGGTGAAAGGATTTGCCAAGTGGCGTAGAGTACTTGCCGATTGTTGAAATCCAAAAACTCGCACGACGCATCGAAAGAATTTGCGAATTGCTCCACATCGCGCATTCCTGCGGTGTAAATCCTCTTTGTGTTTGTTTTCCTATACTTCCTTATCAATAACAACAGTGCAACACTCTATATACGATCCATGTCGCTACCTATTTAAAAAATACGTTCTGTACGATTGATGATCGTCGAAAGAATGGTTACCCGAACCGTGGCAGCAATTCGCGTCGCCCCGATTCGCTGTTATGTGTTTCGACCCTCACTAGGAATACGATTCGTACGTTATTGCGGGAGGCTCTTTTCATGCACCCCATCGTCTCGCTAACGGTGAAGAGAAAATCCTAATGAAACTACTTCGAAGAAGTTCACATTCACTAGAAAATGTCTGAAGTCAGCAACCCACATTGGACAAGCTCGGCAAGCTGTGGCGTACAAAGGAAAGTCGTGCCAATGGAACGTATAATGAATGTACGATGATGATGAGGAACACCAGTCCTCTTCAGCATTGACATTCAATACCGAAAATATCAAATGACAATGGTGGTTTATTAAAATTTTCGCCACTCTTTAACATAACTTGCCGAAGGGAACCGAACGTAATACAACGAATCTGTGAAACTGATATACCTATTAATAAAAGCAGTATTTTGGTTTATCTGTCTGGATTTAATTAAGTGTTTTCTTGAGGTACCCATAGTTTTTTAATGGGGCTGACATGTTCAATAATGATCAAATAAATATTTAAAAAAAACACACATTTGGCGTTTATATTGCAAGCATATTTTCGTCACTTCTCGGAATACTTACTAATTTAAAATATACCAGCATTTGCTACTTTAGTGTCTAGACTTGAAATGTTAATCGATATGTTGGCGCCGGGCAGTGTTCTGCGTTTAAATTTCACGGTGATTTGACCTTTATGTTATTGTACTAGATATATAGGTAAAGTTGGCATTATGGTTGTCACGAAATAACAACAAATATTTATTGTTTATAATATGTATTTGTGTTGGGTTTTACTCTTAGACTTTCACTCTATTTCAGTTACAAGTTTGAAATTGACCATAGGTACAATAAACTTTACGAAATGCTTATAATAGTACATACATGGTATAAGTATTTACTACTACCTATATTTAGGTTTTCCTATGAGTTACTCCATGTAAGCAAATGTACATTTTATACCAACGGTATAAGGTGACTTCTTCATTGCAGGTATGACTCAGGGCAGTGTAAAGAAAATACTTGCGCCAGTCGATTCAAACGGAAAACGTTGCGGACTTGACTCTAACGTCGAACACAAACCGTATTTAGTCTTCTTCGATATATCAAAATGTCTGTCACCCGGGACACCTATAACTGGTTGTCCTACCCAACAGGCAAGTATTAAGTATAAAACGAATTTTCACACGTTGTAGAACATAAAATATTCATATTATAAATTACTTATTAATACTGTATCTCTTTACAGGTATGCGTAAAAAAATGTCCATCGAAAACTCACGTATTTAACGTGGAAATTACAAACACAGCCTCTCTCGACGCCTTAAGGTCGGAAATCATCTGCACTGACGACATCAATGTCCAGAAAATGACACTGAAGGAAGCCAAACATAATATGAATATAGGGAAATGTACATCTTACGTCTTAAAAAGTCAGCCAGGTAATATCCAAGTATATTTTTAATTAGTGACTTTATAGATTCATGTCAGTATTAAAAGTTTCGCCGGTTGTCAAAAACTTAATAACTTTTGAAGCCACTAATCAACCTTTAGCTTTTTTTGTATAATTGTGTTACGATGTGTGCCATGTGGCGTGATGAAGTTCCCTGGAAACTATACTCACCACTGCATGTTTGAGAGTGAATTACACTGATAACCACGTCGTAGTGTTGTTCCGTTGCATCGGGGACCTGTCCACTCTACCGTGCAATAAGGAGTCGCCAAAGCCCGACTCTCCATGGGCACAAACTGAGAAGGACAACCAGATCTGCTTCCGAAACGCTAAAGAGACTACGGAGACTTTGCTGAACAGAGCTACAGCTTTGGATTCCTATGTCGGCTGGATATCAGCAAGTTGGGTGACGTACTTCACTAGAGGCGCCAACGAACGCGACACACACATAGTAGGTAGCCGTTAAGCGCGTAAGCATGTTTCCCGTACAGCAGTAAAACTCGTTTTCTCGTATTAACCCTGTAAGCACTTGCTACTTATCGTCTACGTTCGACATAATCGCCTCTATCTGAAACCTCTACATAAATATGTAGTATAACCCTGCACCTGAATGTCTAATTTCTCTATAAGTAAACCTGTTCACTTGTACTGCATGTAATAATGATGTATACCAATAGCATAGATACACTGTATTGTCTTCATTATACTAACGGTCGTTGTGCATGTCCATATCGGAGCAGTCTTGGGGAGGTGCTTTGTGGACTTCAATGAGTTCGAGGAGTACTTGCATATGAATAACATACCGCTGCCGGTCGGACTCGATGGATCACAGGTGTTGGAAGAACTTACTTCATTATTCACACGTGCTGATCAGGTAGAGTCATTAAGTACTTTTATAAATAATGACGCACTAAAATTGTTCTGTGTGAATTGCGGCAACATAATTTCGTGGTAAGACGCATGACATATTAAATATTTGTTCCATGCCATAACTAGTCAACATTGATATGAATTATGTAGTCTATTCGTTTCAATAACAAAAGATTTGATAGATAATCATAGAATACTTATACATACACTTTTAGTCGTAGTAGGTAATTATTTGAATCTAAATATTGTAGACCTATTTATATAACATGATTTTAACAAGATATTAACAACTACGTTACCATCGGTTAAATTCTTAAGCCTCGTAACCGCCATTGATGTGAACTTTTCAGTAGGCATAAAAACAGAATTACTAAATTTTTTTTATAATATCAAGTGACGGGACGAGCTTTAAATCGCAAAGATCTGAGGGGCACTGCTACTGCGCCCGTCACCCTGAGACATAAGTTGTCAAGTTCCCTATGTCTGTAATTTCACCAGCACCCTTACCCTTCAAAACCGGAACGCAGTAATGCTGACATTACTGCTTGGCGGCAGAAATAGGTAAGGTGGCAGTACTTCCCTGGACACCCTGGAACTCTTTCACAAGGAACTCTACTGCCCTTCAAGATATAAGAATAAGACAATTTATGATTATACGTTTACTTTGTACCTAAAAAGGCTCCATATATTATATTTTAAGCTTTAATTGCCGGATAATGTGCTTGAACAGTGACACACATTCCGTCCAAAAACGGAGTTACGCTGTTTTCAAATTTAGTTGCCGACACATATGTTTTCATTTCTGATTCAATTCTTTATTAAGCGTTTACTATGAATTTGAAAAGCATGAGGTTTCTGAATCTTCACACCAACATAACACGAATGATTTGAAAACACTTAAGACTTGTATACACAACACGCATGACTCAAGGGGGAAAGATAAAAGCTTTGTGTTCTAAAATAGCATGCCATATATTATCCTTTGTTTAGCATTATCAATTAAAAGTACTTGCGGTGGCCTTAACAGCGGTTACGGATGCAATAACGATGCTATCGCTAATTATCTACCTTAACACACACGCTCGATTTAAGCAGCGATACAAACAATCTAGATGCAAACGCAATGCACGTTTTTAATTTATTAAATTTATTAATTTATTTCACTTTTAAATTTAAATAAACAAAACAAGACAATGTGCATAAACTTATACAGATTTTTCGCAACATAAGCACATAAGTATTGATGCAATCGCGCGTTTGTATCGCTGCTAAAAGTAGCCATGTGCAACCGCTCTAATAGTTTAAATAATCATATAGATGGACCAACTGCACAACTGGTATACCAGTTAATAGTTTCGTTTATTCCATTTGAGCAGCTATCAGCCCAAATAGTCCAGGACCTGGTGCAATCCCGCTGGTACATGTTAGGAGCTTTGGTGGTCGTGGTAATCATCTGTTTCATCTACATATTGCTGCTACGATGGGTGGTCGCACCTGTGGTCTGGACGTCTATCGTGGGGCTCTTTGCTCTGCTTGGATTCTGTAAGTTGTTTTTCTTTCGTGGTAACTTGGTAGTATAGCTTAAACCGTATTTATTTTATAAAAAAATCTCAATTCAGAAAATTTGTGGGATTGCGTAATCCGCAGCAATTGACATTTGTACCACGTCACCGCTTTCTAATAGTGGATCTGATGGCGCATTTACACCGGGTCGTGTAAGACACTTCGCCTTGCCGAAGGCGACGCACCCAGTCTCTTCGGTCGACTTCGGCTTCAAACTATGGGTCGTCAGACGACTCACTATTTACACCGCGTAGCTTACCGCCTCCGCCCGGCAAGCCAAGGTCGCCTGACGACTTGATGCAAATGCACCATGATGCTATACACTAAATTGATAACTATTTCGTCGTGAAATTACGAAAATACGTTTCTATGACATGTTGAGACAATCAAGAGAGCCAAATACTTACTGGCAACAGTATTATTTCTGTTTAGTAAATTTAGATTTAATTTTGTTAGAATTATGCTTATAATTCTTAAATTATGAATATCACCACACTTATCGTCACGAATTAAGCCGGCCGGTCAGAAAAAGCTTCATCTATGAGTCTCATGGGAGACTCCGACATATTAAATAAAATAACGGATAACTCACGTAATTGAAGTCGAATTTTTGCTCGGCGTGTTTCGAACCAGTTCGTGGTCCTTAATCATGAGACTCCGCGGCGGTAACTCGACGGAAACAATTTCAGAAGGCGTTATCCGTTATTATACTCAATATGTTAGCTGTAGACGTTATTCGTGACGGCGGTCTTCGCAACGTTTTTTAAAACTTAATGCATGAACATAAAGCTAAAGGTAGTGGTGACTACCTCATGGTTCAAATTTTTAAAATATATGAAATCTTTCAGCGTTATACTTGGTATACAAGAACTATGAATACTACCGCGCCCATCCTGTAAGTTTACAACAGACAACCAACCTCAAAGGTTATGCGGAGTCCTGGCTAACCAAAGCGAGTACCTGGATGGTGATACTTATTATTCTGGCCATCGTCACGTTGCTGCTATTGTTAATAATCATCTTTCTACGAAGTAGAATCGTCGTTGCCATAGCACTCATAAGAGAGGGAAGCAAGTAAGTATTAAACTCTTCCATTGTTCTTTTATCTCGACGGGATATGAGAGCTAGGTTGAGATTTATAAAACGAACTTTGACTTCGACTACGCAAAAAGAAATTAAATCATACTTTGAGTTTACTTCGTAATATCTTCAACATTGGCAAAGTTCGTTTTCTAAATACGAGAAACTTGCTTAGATGAGCACATTTGCTACAATAAAATTTATATTTGCTTACGGACCTACTTTACCGAGGGATGTGTGATTGAGAAATCTCACCAAACATCTTGTCATGGTTGACTTAGAAGAAATTAAGACGTAATTAGAAGAAATAGACAGTACTTTTATGTATTAGAATGCAACTATTCGAAAATCTACCGACAATCGGTACGTTGCTGCAGTAGTTGGTAAATCTTTTGCAAAGGACAATCATAATTGACAGAGCTCATATTTCTATCATGGATAGTCGTTCAGTAAACGTAATACACGATCTCTTTCTGTTTCCAGAGCCGTCACTGCTATAAAATCCACGGTAATCTTCCCCATATTTCCATGGCTCGTACAATGCGCAGTAATTGCATACGGCGTCGTGGTACTGATGTACTTGCTGTCTATTGGAAAACCAGTCTTCAGTGTCGTGAATCTCGAGAGCGACCCTGACTGTGATTGTAATGGGCATTACACAAAAGTAAGTTCAAACAATACGTTTTATCTGCTTAAGCTATCAGCTAATACGGCAACAGAACTCTAAAGATATGATATGAAGGACTCTAAGCCTGCTGCCAGACGGACTGCACGTGGAAGTTGATGTAATTAAAAACGTACATGGACTTATCCATGGATCTTGGTCCATCGTATGAGTCATGGGTGCGTTAAAATCTTTTTCTGAATTCTACTTTTCAATTATTTATTTCCTTATCAGGTCGTTTTTTTTACTGTTAGATACTTCGTAAAATACTGACTGTGGTCTCTTTTCTTACTAATTCAACAAAGTTATGTTAAGTTAAGTTATGATCACCAAGTTTAAAATTAAGTGCCAATGAGTAAAAGTGTTTAAACTATTTGTTTGCACTATACAGATGGCACGTGCGTCACCGAGACGGCTCACTCTTTTGTTTATTCTAAAGATGAACCGATAAGACGAGCAAATAATATTTCACCAACTATATACAAAACTCGCTGAGCGTATTCCAAAAATACGTATTTTAAAACACGCACAATCTTCAACCTTCAGCGCTCGATCCGGCAAACAAGGCGTATTTGCAGGACGCGGCTCACGCCCGCTTAACTCGTCTCGAGTAGGGCACTCAAGGGGAGTTGCTAATAGCTATTGCTTTGAGCGTCTACATTTGTTGCGTAACTGTATGGTTTGTAAAACTATGCACGAACTACGACTGACCAGCTCGCATGACCCGTGAGGCAGTGACGACGGAGACGAGTTCGACAAGACCGCGACGCGAATGCGATCCGAATCGTAGGCAAGCAAGCGAACACGTATTTCATTACAGAATATTACAAAGCTCTTCTGATAGTTTTAGAAGGATATAATATGTATTTTAACATAAAATAATATATGTGTATTGCGACTTGCATCTTTAAAACACCCACTGAAAGTTGTTTTAAAACTGCTTACGTGTTATTCGAAATATTCGAATGATGCGATACGTGGCCACTGCAAAATCCGAAGAGCAAATTTAACGGATATTCGAATAAAACGAATATTCGGATTTTCGAATTGCAAGCCCTAATTGCGAGTCCGAATAGGCTGCCACAGGCGAGCACGGCCGCGCTCGGGCCGGGCGTCCTTCTTCCCACGGCGCGTTTGTGCGAAACGCGCGGCGCGGGCCGCGAAACGGGCCATAGGCCGTGAGAAACCACCTCTAACGGCTCGAAACGGTGGTTTGTTTGAAAAAAACGGAATAAAATGTTTCATTCCTTAATCTCTAGCATTTCAACTTAGAGGACACCCGTGGTCAGCGGATTATCATAAATATCGACTCACCGTTATAACCTGAGGACGGACAACAAAACTTATCTACACTTAAGTTCTAAACATTACTTTAGGATGATTTTCTTTACCACAAGATTAATATTTCCAGGACCAGGAAGCATGCGACCCGGTCACGTTTTCGACATACTGCCACGACAGGACCGCCTCGAGTGGGATACCGGGATTTGCAGTGGCCCCCTGCCGCAACGCCACTTGCCACTTCGCCGGCCTCGAAAATGAGAATATGCTCGTATATCTTTATCACTGTAAGTTATATTTGTCACAGCATCATTGATGTAACAATAAGGAACAGTAAGTCCATCAATGGAACAGGTAACTAGTAAGTCATTGTACGTTTTTTTTTGTTGTTTGTTAGGTATTATTGATACAAAGATCGTACAAACACTAAGAAAAATTCCATTAATCCGGCTGAACTAAAACTAGCTACTACTACCGGGGCTAACGCTCTCCCAACTGAGCTATGAAACGAGTCAGCAGACTTACGAATTTCTTTATGTGCGTATTGCGATATTCGTTTTTTTGTTTTAACAACTTTTTTGCCATAGCACCACCTGGAAGAAATCTATTAAAGTTTTTCGTCACTCTGCTAAAGTCAGCTAGGTATCATTACAGCTACCAGCGGCTGACTAGAGATGTCGCTTTGTTAATTGAAATATTTTATTTTATTGAATATCATGTTTTTTTAACCGACTTCAAAAAAAGGAGAAGGTTCCAATTCCACTATGATTTTTTTTGTTACGCGATAACCGATTTTGACGATTCTTTTTTGTTGGATCTTTCCAACAAAAAAAATAATCATCAAAATCGGGCACCTCAGGATCGGTCCCATTTAAATTTAAAGAAAATGTTCCACCTCTAAGGGTGGCAAACGAGGGCATGAATCCCGTTACGCGCACTTTTCGGTAACCGATTTCAATAAAACTTCGCAAATAGATGAAATTCCACGAACTTTTGAGGTCGGTTTTTTATTATTGCCATGATATTCATATACTTTTGAAAACACTTCACTAGGTTGTTGTTATTATTGATACACATGAACACTTCCTCACTCTATATTTTTCGAAGGAATTGATTGTAGAAACTGAATTTTTCAGTTATAAATCTCCTTGGATTCTTCTGGACGATGTTTTTCATCAGCGGCGTGGCAGACATGATGCTTGCAAGTACCTTTTCCACTTGGTACTGGACTTTCCATAAGCGAGACTTACCTTTCTTCACTCTGACTTCTGGTATTTATAGAACACTTCGGTAAGTAGTAAAAAGTAATCATATAAGAGAGTTACCACACTTTCTAATGCTGGATCGGTTTGAGCCGATTAGAAGAAGCTTTACGTACATTCAATAACTGCGAAAAAGACGTTATGCGTTTCGATTGCGACTCGGACACGAAACGCACAGTATCTGTCTCACTTTTATTACATGGACAAAAAGCCTTTTCTGAGCGGCACAATGAGATTCCGCGTTTTTACATTTGTTTATAATATCAAGTGACGGGACGAACAAGTCGTGCGCCTGATGGTAAGCTACACGCCTATCCATAACAGTTACAGTGCCATTCAGAGCCTTAAATCGCAAAGATCTGAGGGGCACCGCCACTGCACCCGTCGCCCTGAGACATACGTTGACAAGTCCCATGTACCGTAATTTCACCAGCATCCTTATCCTTCAAAACCGGAACACCGTAATGCCTGACATTACTGCTTGGCGGCAGAAATAGTTAAGGTGGCAGTACTACTCTGAACGAACTCTTTCACAAGGAGCTCTACTGCAACTAAAATTAACTTCCTAATGCGTTAAGTATTCTATTTCTTGTCAAAGGCTGAAAGCGGGTTGGTAGTTCTAAAATATGTTGCATCAATTTAATTTTTCGTATGTAAAACTCGTAATTTTTCGTATGTAATTTTAGATATGTCTTCATAGGTATTATTTTATTTATTTATTTTTTATTTATAGCGCAATAAGAAACATCAGACACAAACAATTATAGAAAAAAACACTTAAAAATTAATACAGGCATGTCTGTGCCCAATTATAACAGTCTTCAACATTTAAAAGTATACACGGACGCTAAATTTATTATTATTATTATTATTATTATTATAGAAAAATAATAATAAAAAGAGTATATTATTTACCTTAGAACAAAAGTAGTGGCCTCTTAAAAATAGAGACACAGCAGTTGAAAATATTGCAATCAGACATACTTCGTTATAATACCCACACATCCTATAGGGGTTTATTTTGAGGGTACCTGAGGGCTATTTTGTTAAATATTTTTTTTATGTAAGGGGTATAGTGAATAATCATTTAGTGAAAAATATATATTAATATATATAATATTATTGTACCAGGCAACCACACCAATTACTTGATCTCAAATGAGTAAATTCCCTGTACTACGATTAGACTAGATTCAGTAGCAGTTTAAGCTCCTTATGAAAGAGTTCGTCCAAGGAGGTACTGCCTCCTTGTCTATGTCTGCCGCTAAGCAATAATGTGAACATTATTACTGTGTTCCGGTTACGTTTCGGTGCTAGTGAAATTACAAGCACATGGGACTTGTCAATGTCCCAGGCGCAGTAACTATGCCCCTCAGATCTTTGCCATTTAAAGCTCTGAGCGGCACTGCAACTGTTATGGACAGGCAAGCTAGCTTATCAGGCACACGAATTGTTCGTCCTGTCACTTGATATTATAAAAATAAATTAGAAAGTATATTTCCCAAAATAGGTCTATCGGAAATCAAACCCGGGAACTTCCTATCCGACGCCGGCGCCCACAATGCCAACCGTGGTGTAGACACTTTTTGATGAGTTATGATTTCTTCTTTTCAGTTATCATTTGGGTACAGTCGCTTTCGGAGCACTTATCATTGCAATTGTGCGAGTTATTCGCGTCATCTTAGAGTACATCGACCACAAGTTGAAGAAGTTCGACAATCCCTTCACACGATGCGTGATGTGCTTCTGCAAATGCTGCTTCTGGTGTCTCGAAGGTTTCCTCAAGTTTATTAATAAGAACGCCTACATTATGTGCGCCGTTCATGGAAAGAGTTTCTGTACCAGCGCTAGAGACGCCTTCTCTTTGCTCATGAGGAATATTGTCAGGGTTGTCGTCCTAGATAAGGTAAGAGTTCTTTTGCGTTGATTCCTCAGATATCTAACTATTAATTTAACGACCTCGATAGCCCAACGGTTTATACCGTGGGCGCTAGACAAGGACGTGCTGGGTTCGATTCTCGGTAAGACCAATTTGGGAAATGAAGTTTTGTAAATTATTTGGTCTCTGGTCTGAGTGTTCTGGGAGTGAATTCCGTTGCTCTGGTACTCATAGTACAGGGAATTCTGTAGTTTGAGATCCCGCAATTGGTGTAGTTGTCTTGCACATTGCATCATTAACAATTTATGAGATAACTTTTAATACAATTTATAGTCAAATTTATTCACCATTTGATTGTATCCAGGTGATGGACTTCATCTTCTTCCTATCAAAATTGCTGATTTCAATCGGCATAGGCTTCGCCGTGTACTACCTTCTGCAATGGAACTATGTGTACGAGGTGACAAAGGGCGAGCGCTTGCACTACAGCTACGTGCCAGCTGTAATCCTTAGTATCGCTACGTATCTTGTGTGCACCATATTCTTCAACGTGTACGCTATGGCTGTTGATACGTTGTTTCTTTGCTTTTGTAAGTATTGAATCTACTTTGATTAAGATAGAGGTATTTCAAAGCGAGCCTAGATTTTAGGTTAAGTGTTGGAGGGTCGCATCTCGCGTCCCGCAATCGCAAAAATTGATATGAATAAAATAAGAACAGACGGAGAAAATTTGACACGGATCCGACGTCGACAAACGCCATTGATAACGGGGCAGCGTGCGGCGCGGCGGCGTGTCGTTAAATCGCAGGCCAATTCGACGTAGTTAAACAAAAAGTTTTTAGTAGCAGTAGATCTCCTTGTGAAGTCCGTCTAGGATAGTACTGCCACCTTACCTATTTCTGTCGCCAAGCAGTAATGTCAGCATTACTGTGTTCCGGTTTTGAAGGGTAAGGGTGCTGGTGAAATTACTGGCACATGGGACTTGTCAACTTTTGTCTCAAGGTGACGGGCGCAGTGTCAGTGCCCCTCAGATCTTTGCGATTTAAAACTCTGAGTTGCACTGCAACTGTTATGGACAGGCGTGTAGCTTACCGTCAAGCGCACGACTTGTTCGCCCCGTCACTTGATATTATAAAAAAAAGTATCCAATGCACATCCAGCCACTTTCTTCGCAGTTTAAAAAAGTTTCTCACTCTTGTTTTATTTTCAAAACGTTTAATGTCATGTAACTCCAGACATATTTATTTATGTTCATATGTTGGATTTTTTTTGCTGATCTAAAAGGATAGACTTTAGGAACCGTTTGGTTACATATGACTCATTTTTTGATAATTTTGTGGATTGGACCCTTTTTGCTTAACTACATCTAAATAGCAAATTTTGGGATAAATGTGAATTGAATAACTATAGGGTTTCAGTTGAAAACCAAAGTTAGCAGCTTCTCAGTGGTAGGTACTTAAAAGAAATACCTCCATAAAAATTATGTACGTACAAAGTTAGATATTTTATTCTTAAATAATTCGTTTTAGACTTTTATTTTAGCCTATTTTCAGGATTTTATATGATGTATAAAGTACATTCTATCGTGTAACAAATTAGCACATTTTTAGACAATGTCCTTAGGTGCATCATACATTTTTCTAAGACGTTATTTAATAGTAAATACCTAAACCATTTCATCTAGCAGAACAGTTTTTCCCGCTTCTCCTCCGGTGACTCGCCGGATTTCCATAAAAAACATTCAAATGGGCCTTTTATAGTTTACACTGTTTACTTAGTGTTCTTATATCACAAGATCTTTGCACTGATTATGATACGAGCAATTAAACAAAAACTTTTATGCCCCTAAAAAAGGTAGGTAATTACTTCGCTACTACACGAACAGTGAAGTTTGAATTGTGCTAATTAGCTGCGTTTGTATTGAATATTTTTTATGCCCTTGATTTTCCAATCGCATAAAATTAATATTATACCTATAACACAAACGCAACTATAATCTAACGATGCCTTACTTTCTCAAACTCGTAAAGAGTAATTATTCGGGAGATGGCAAAATTTTCAATTTATTTTAAATTTCTTATCAAGGGATTGGATGTATTACTTTAAAGAAGGTAAAAGCCAGTGTGTGAATATGAAGAAAATATGATGTAAAATCAGCATGCAAAATTTGTATATATCTGCAATACATTTCTTGCATTTCAGAGACTTACGATAGGTACGACTTTGCGAAAGTAAGCCGATGCCCTCTCACAACTGCGCATAGCATAGTCTTGTTTGTAAAATACTAACAATCTTGCAAAACAACAACTTTTGTTCAATGTCTTTTTACAAAACATAATAAATTTACCAAAAATAAACATTCAATATTGCTAAACTCTTTAGACTATGGCTGCTAATCGATCGACTGCATGTTTGCAGTTAATGCGTGAAGTCGTGCAGTTAATCCGAGACCCCGACTGCATGAAGTTGATAACAATTTCACGCATTAACTACATGTAGTCGAAACCCACTTGTAAGTTGTAGTCAATCGCAGCCTATGAGTTAAGGTTTCCCTC